GCTGAGGATCGAACCCGGGCCGCACGCATGCCAGGCGAGTGTGCTACCGCTTGAGCCACATCCCTAGCCCAGAGGCGATTATTTTATTTTGAATATTCTTGTCAAAACAAAAAGTTGGCCACCTAAAATGGTCCCACCCATTTTAGGGGGAAGTTTGGCTGCTTCGTGAAGCACTCAGGTTTGGGAACCAGTGATTCAAGTGTCTGAGGTGCCACTAATCTCCAGAGCTTTCTCAACCTCAGCACCATTGGTACCTGGGGCTAGCTATGTGTGTATTGTGGGTCGCCACCTGAGCATTTTAGGATGCTTAGCAGTATCATTGGCAGCTACTTGCTACTTGCTTGTAGAAATCCACCCAACTCAGATGCCACAACTGAAAATGTCTACAAATGTTAACAAATGTCTTCATTGCCTGAGGTGTGTGGAGGCGATGGGTACATATAGATCCCCAACCCAAACTCAACTGAGAACCACTGGTCTAGAGCAATATTTTTCAAATTATGGTTTCAACTCCTTAAAGTATTGTGAACTTCAATTTAGAGAATTACTAGAAGCATTAAAAATAAGAAAGGAGATGAGAAAGAACAGTCTTTTCAGTAAGGGAAAACTGGATAGCCACACGCAGAAGAACCATACTAGACTCCTATCACTCACCAGTGACAAAAATCAACTCAAAATGGATTTTACATTTAAATGTAACACAAGAAACTTCTAGAAGAAAACAGGAGAAACATTTCAGGACATTGAAATGGACAAGGATTTTTTTTTTTTTTTTGGACAAGACTCCCAAAACATAGGAAACAGAAGCAAATGTAGACAAATAGGATTACACCAAACTAAAAAGCTTCTACATAGCAATGGAAACAATCAACAGATGACGAGATAACCCACAAAACTGGAGAAAATACTTCCCAACTAAACTTCTAAGAAAGGGTTACTTTCCAGGGTATAAAAAGAGCTAAAAAAAAAAAACGAAACAAAACAAAACAAAAAAAAAAACCCTCATTAACCAAGAAACAAATAGTCTGATTTAGAAAATGGGTAATAGACCTAAACAGAATTTCTCAAAAGAAGACATATAAGTGGCCAACAGATATATGACAAAATGTTCCATCTCATGGATGAATCCCTAATGGGAGACCAGGAAGGCAGAGGGATGCGTCCTCAGATGTAGGTGGGGAGAATCAGTGATAACAAAGATTAGGGTTTTTGGTGTCACAGCACCACACATCGATGGAAGAAATCCTGAATTGATCAAGATCAAGGTTTGCCCATCTGGCCCAATAAGAGCTTGGAATAGAAATTAAGTTCACTTATGGAAAAAATAAAGTCGTAATTGTTGGGTACTGGATTTTGAAGCCTGATTAGTATTCACTACACATAGATGCTCATAATGCTTCATAGCATATAAGGACTTTTTCCTTTATTTTAAAATTTTAATTCTTACTAAAAAGTGAAAAGATGTTATTATTCTTGTAATCATTTTACAAATGTGAAAATGAAAACATAGAAAGGTTAAGTGACCTTCCTAAGGTCACACAGCTAGGACCTGGCTTAGCAATGACTCAGATCCATGACTCTTCATTCTACCACTTCTGGTTGTTGATGTTCAGAACTCTTCACCAAGGACTTAAGTGAAAGCTTCCTGTTAGTTCTCATAAAATGTTGTTAGGTTACTCAAAACCTTTTAGCATTTGCAACCTCATGCTCAAATATGAGGATAGAGGAAAGCTCCTGTGCTGGCACTCTGCCTGATGTGCCACCCTGGGCCTCCAGGCTGTGGGTTCTAGGGCAGCACTCTGCTTTCATGCTCTGAGGTGGGAGCCAAGGCAGAAATGAGTGGAGAGCTCAGGACCCGAAGAGCATGGGATGAGAGTCTCATGATTTGGGTGCTGGGTGCTTCATCCAGGTTAGAGGATGCTGCTCTGCTTCCACACTCACCACATTGTAGACTTTTCTTATTTCATTGCCTCCGCCTCTGACCAGATAGTAAGTAACTGAAGGTAGGGACTCCGTCAGGCTTGCTCCCTGTTATATTCCCTGCACTGCGCAAAATACCAGGCAAGTTGTGGTATCTTAGTTCATTTTCGGTTGCTGTAGCAGAATATCCATGACTGGGTAATTTATAAAGGAAAGAGACTGTTTAGCTCATAGTTCTGGAGGCTGGGAGTCCAAGATCAAGTGAATGCATTGGCGATGGTCTCATGCTGCATAACAGCATAAAAGCAGAAGGGAATTGAGAGGCAAAACTCCAAAGGCAGCCTTGCCTTTACATCAGTTTGCTCTCTAGGAAACTAATCCAGTGTCTTGAGGTTGAGAATTCACTCACTGTTAGGAAGAGAAGCATTAATCCCTCTTAATGAGGACTTACCTCCCAGTGTTGCCACGGTGACTATCAGATTCCAATTTGAAATTTGGAGAAGATAAACAAACCATAGCAACATAGATCCTTAAAAATATTTGCTGAATGAACAAATTGGTGGATGGATGAATTCTTGGTGTCTCTTACACATTTCTAATCACGTATGCCTTAATAGAAGCCCCTCTGCCTTGGGATTGAACCCAAGGGTGCCCTCCTGAGCTACATCCCCAGGCCTTTCCCTCCCCACCACCTCTATTTTTAGACAGGATGTCACTAAATTGCTGAGTCTGTCCTTGAACTTGATATCTTCCTGCCTCAGCTTCCCCAGTAGCTGGAATTACAGACATAAAACTACACAGAGCAATAGGGCCCCTTCAGCAGGAGGCTTGGTCTTAGCTTCCTTTATTTTACCTAACAAAGTTTTATGAAAATAGCAATTTCTAGTGGCAGCCAGGACACACCTCCTTTTCATTCATTATCCCAAGTTCCTCCTTTTTCATTATTCCTAGCTGCTCTTTTGGTCAAGATGTTTGGAATATGTTTTCTTCTCTTCCATGTACACGTACATTTTGAGATTATTTATTTTTCTTTTTTGCTTATGTTTAATTGTCAGCTTTCTCTAGATGTTCTTTAGAAGCAGGGAGCAAGGGTTATAAATCAATATGAGAAGATACTTTGCTATCTCATTTTGGAAAAAAATATAATTAAAATTCATGGTAGAAAGAATTTCTAAAGTGGCAAGTTGCCTCTCCAAGATATTACCATGTCTTATTTTAGAATTTACTGTCGGTAACTAATCTACATTATTAAATAAGATTCAGTTCATTTGAGTTGCTGAATAATTACTCTGTTGGATAAGAAGGGCTTTTGTGATATTATTAGTTTTATCACATATGCTAAGTTGCTTTTTGGAAGTAGCCTCACCATTACTTGAAAAGAGATGGAAAATACTTTATTTGTCACAAATTCAATAAATTTGCAATTAAAATTATGCCACAAATATGGTAAAATTTCACTGGATAACTTAAAAAAATTTTAGTGCAATGCATGATAAATAAGACTTATCCTTTAATGGACTCCTAATTTTTTTTTTTCTTAAGGCAACATGACAGAGAAGCTTTTCCCAAAGATTATGATATAGAAGGTCCTGATAAAATAAAAAGGCTGTGTGCTTCAACATATGGTCGATTTGGAACTGAGGAACCTCCAGTAAGTAGTTGCTGCTAATTTCTTTAAGTCTTGTATCTTTCTCATAGTGAAACATGAAAATATAAAGGAAGGAATATTTTTTTTAGCGCTATCTTTAATCAACAAGATTATCTGCTTAGGTTCGTGACTTAGCCACTGTGCTTCAGCAAAATTACCTATACAAATGCACCTAATTCGTAAGGTTTGGGGGGAATTAAATGAAATAAGTAAAGTACTTAAAATAGTGCCTGACTATATTAGTTACTTTTCTGTCACTATGATGAAGTACCTGACACAGGCTATGTATGAAGCAAAGAGGTTTACTTTGGCTTATGGTTCTGGAGGTTTTAAGACTAAAATCAGGTAAATCCATTGATTTGGACCTGTGATGAGGTTGGGAGTATATGTTAGGTCAAGTATATGTTTGAGTCAGGAAGCAGAGAGAAATTGAAACTGAAGTGGCACCCCCTTTCTCCACAGCAAAGTCTTAACTGGGCTTCTCTAGAAATCTTCACCATGGCTGATTTTAGGACTGTCAGCAAAAGAGTCTCTGCAAAAGAGTTCAATGTAGATAAACTTCCTAATTTCGTGTTGCCCTGTCTTACTTGGCCACTGGCTGAGAAGATAGCAGCACTCCAGGTGCTGGACACTAGGTTTTCCACAAACATATCCAGTATAGTAGTTTGTAGAAATGAGCAAACAAGGCCTCTGGCCTTGAGCTGGGCCTCACAGAGATGTTTACATTTTTAAGATAAGTTACCAATTAAGGCTCCATGGTAACAGCTGGCAGGGGAGGAAAGAAGGGGAGAAGAAGCTCTCCCCTTCTCAGGTGTTGTCCTTGAAGGGTTAACTTGCCCAAAATAGTGAAAGAAAAAGCTGTTTTTATGTGAACTTCTGCAGACTGTGAACTTCTGCAGACTGTGAACTTCTGAGCCCCTCCGCCTACATGCTGGTATAAAACTCTGAAACTACCTGAACTCCAGGTTCAGGGGATTAATTGATTACAGCAAAAGCTGTGCCCTCTGAACCTGGCTGCAGCCAAATAAAACTGTTTCCTGCTATCTTCGGTGCCTTGAACTTGCCTAATTTGTCCCTACAACAAAATTGTTATGGAATGGATCTTAAATGTCCCCTAGAGAGTTCATGTGTTTGGTTCCCAGCTGGTGGTACTAGTGGGAGGTGGTAGAAATTTAAGAAGATGAGCCTCATTGGAGGAAGTAGGTTATTAGAGGCATGGCTTGAAAAGTATATTGGGACTCTGGTCCTTTCTTTTTTTGGGGGGGGAGGGTGAGGGCTTGTACTCAGGGGAATTCAACCACTGAGCCACATCCCCAGGCCTATTTTTTGTATTTTATTTAGAGACACCGTCTCACTGTGTTACTTAGTGCCTCGCCTTTGCTAAGGCTGGGTTTGAACTCAGATCCTCCTGCTTTCTCTTCTTTTGCTAGCCTGCTGGGCTGCTATGAGGTGAACTGCTTTTCTCTGCCATACACTTCCCACTGTGATATTCTGCCTTGCCTTGGGCCCAAAGTAACAGGGTTGAGTGACCAGGGACTGAAATCTCTGAAACTGTGAACCAAAACAAAATTTTCCTCCTTTTAATTTTTTCTTAGGTATATTGTTACAGAAAGGGAAAGCTAAGTAACACAGAGACTGAAAGGCCCGGGTTCCCCAATCCCTGTTTCTTCTTCCTCCCCCTCCCTCCCCTCTCCCCTCTCCCCTCTCCCTTCCCCCTCTTTCCCTACCTCTCTCCCTTTCTTTCTTTTTCTTTTCTTGTTACTGGGGATTGAATCCAGGAGCTCTTAACCACTGAGCCGCATCCCTAGCCCTTTTTATTTTTTGAGACAGGGTCTTACTAAGTTGCTGAGGCTGGCTTTGAATACCCCTGTCCCTTCTGATGGCATTCCCCCAATGACTTCCACTAGGCCCTCCTCTTAAAGATCCCCAGTTCGTCCCAGTACTGCCATCCTGGGGATAGAGCACTTAACACATAGGCCTTTGAGGGATATTCAGTATCCAAAATGCAGCACTGGCACGTAGCAAGTGCTCAAGAAATTGTTATTATTATTTTGATACTGATATTGCTTCAAAAGCATCTTGCTGGCTGCATTCTTTGCCCTCCACAATAATCCTGTGAAGTGGCACTATCATCTCTTATTTTATAGAGGAGAGGAAGGAGACTCCTAGATGTAAGCAACTTAAAGCCAACACAGGTAGGGACTAGAAAAACAGGAGTTTGAACACAAGTCTTTGATTTCAAATCATTTGTACTTGTTTCAAGGTAGTGAAGTTGCAAGAAATTAAAACATACTATTGATATTCTGATAACATTTTTATGGCCCATTTACAAAAAAGCACATGCATTGCTAAGTAATTCTTGTTTGAATTGCTGTGAGTTACTGCTTGGTTACTTGTATGAGGCAGGAGCTCAGCTTCTGAAAGACCCCCAAATTGCTTTCTATAATGCCAGCAGCTTTGGAGCTAGATGAAGACCCAATTCAGCCTTAGAGGATGGCCTCTGGGCCTGAAGAGAAGGTTATTTGACAAAGATGGACGTGAATGTGCTAAGAAGACTGGGTTTATATCATTGTCTGCCCCCGAAGGCTGGGCTACTCTCAGACCAGCTTTTGAAGTAGCGCTGGCCTAAGAATATCCATTTTTCAACACTGGAAATTGTTCTAGAAGATACTTTGTTTTCCAGAGTGAGAGGAATGAATTTGCTTATTGTGGCAGTAGTGTTTCCTCCCTTTCTCTTATAGTTAGAGTGGACAGAGAATGGTAAGAACAGCCTGAAAAATAGGGATTTATTATAAAGTTATAGCTGCCCACATATAGAACGAGGAAATTTATCAAAACCAAGAGAGCTCTAAAGCAAGACATTTTCCTCAACACTACACTTTCTCGGACACATACACAAACACACGGTCTTTCTTGGAATCTTTATCTGTGCTCAGGATTTTCTCTTGCCCTGAGGCCTAAATCTCAGGAGCAATCTGAGATTTGTCAGTTTCCACCCAACTTTCTTTCCCTTTGCACCACGCTGCCTTGCTGGTCATTAGCTAGCATGGGAAGTGTGATGCTCAACTTAAGTCAAGAGCCACCCTGCTTCACTCTCGCCCCTCTAAACCCATGCGTTCTTGAGTGTGGGGCTGTGAGCAAACAAAGAGAAAGCTGGCAAGATAGGCATTGTCTGACATGTAATTAGGGTCTTTGGCCTTTGAAAATATTTATTTTTGCCAGGCGTGGTGGAGTCTGGCAAAAGGTGTTGTTATCCCAGTGTCTTGGGGAGGCTGAGGCAGGAGGATCTCAAGTTCAAAGCCAGCCTCAGCAATTTAGCTAGCAAGGCTGTAAGCAACTTTGTGAGACCCTATCTCAAGCTAAAATATTAAAAAGTCTGGGGATGTAGCTGAGTGGTAAAGTGCCCCTGGGTTCAATTCCCTGTACCAAAAAACAAACAGCCCCCACCCCTGCAAGACAAACAAACAAACAAAAACATTTATTTTTTATTTCCACCTGGCTTCTGGGTTGTAGGAGCAAGTGAGATGAAGTAAAGTGTTGAAACCTCAAACATTTCTTCCCGCAGATTTCTATGCATTATAATAGTCAAGCACTGGGTTTTTAGGAAGATGCATCAGTAGAGAGTAATGTTTACTTTTTCTATGTCTTTTTGTTGATGCCCATGAAAATCATGTTCTTCCTCTACCAGGTTTAGAATATGTATTAGGAAGGGAATAGATCAAGGAGTGACTGTTCCAGATAAAATTACTACTCTTCCATCTTAACAATAAGTTACATTCTTCTCTAATAGACTTTTTGTGCATTAAGTACTGTTCCATCCATCTTCGTTCTTGTTCTTTGCATCCGAGCTCTAAAATTGGTAAGAAAGATATTATTCTTCCAGTGCTAAACCTAGACTTTCAGATCTTATCCAGGGTCCCAAAGGTACAGAGAAGGAGGCAGGTGGGATACAGGTTTGGGACCTCCAGGCCTTCATATGATGGATGGATGAGTTCTTTTCCCTGTCACAGGTTCTGATAGAAGCCCACAGACTAGAACATTCATGATAGTTGACAGGAACCACACATCTAAAAGCAAGAAGCTGAACTATGTAGGCAGAAATTCCTGAGAGACTATCAGCAGGGTTAAACCAGTACTTAGCTGTTATGTTCTTGAAGGCTAAGGTCTGAAGAGTTGAAACAGGATTTATTTAGTTTGGGGTTTCATTCCCTTCTTTCCCATCTGAGAAGAGTTCTCAGGGGAACAACTCAGAGAGATTATTGTGTGTCCTAGAATTTAGAGGACATTAGAAAGAGAGGTCAAGAGAGTCAGGGCCACTTAACCCTGCGCCTTTTTACCTGATGCCTCCCTGTTGGCCCAGTTAGAATAGAGAGCAGCAGAGAGAAGCACAGCTGGGTAAAGCTCTACTGGCTGCAGGCCCCCAGGTCTAAAGCAACACCAC